CTACTTCCTTTCCTCACCTCCTCCCAACAATAAAGACTCAACTGCTCTCATTATGAGGTGCATCCCAACCTACTCATTCTTAAAGCAATCAATTTCCAGGAGCTCACTGTAATCATATCGTCAGCAAAGCCCTCATTGGGGATCAACGTAGGAGGTCTGAGATCAGAATTTGAATGTGTTGAAGAATGCTTGACTGTAATGAGCCACCACTTTAATAAATAATTTGCTAAATATAAACGTCCGCCATGGTGAGCTGTTCAAATATGTGTACCAAAGTAACAAGTCAGATGGGAACAGTGGGTAATTTGCAAAGTACACTACTTCTATATGCAGGGGAATAAAACCCAATAATTTGAGGTACAGTCAAGCCTGCTTAATGTCAGTATCAATTTGCTACATAAATCTGAGATTTTACCTAAGGTTTTCCAATAACTGAACTGACCTTCCAGATGCTGAAAATGAAATCACTGAAGCAGAGGCATTTTTAAAATATATTTAAGCTAAGTAGTGAAATAAGTGTTCTAGTCTGCTCATAATGTTTCTGCATATACAAACCACAACCAAAACTAAAAACACGTCATGCTTTTGTCAAGTGACAGCAGGTGAAGAGCACCTTGCATGTGGGTTTCCTACTGCATTAGAAGAGTAATGCAAAGTGAGGGGTTTTTCTTGGTGTACCTTTTTTTATACTAAACAGAGATGGTCAAACACTACACAGGCAATCTCCTCTTTCAGGAATCACAGCCAAAACACTAATGCCCAGTTCCCAGGAAGCAACTCTGCCCGGGGAATTGACGTTAGTTAGAGAGGTTACGGGAGAGAGCAAATTCTTCCACTGCTTGCAATGGCTCCCCCCAAAAGGAAAAACAACACAAAACTAAAACTCCATTTCTTCAAAGACTGGACAGTGCTCACAACATAGAGGCCAGGTCTACACTCAAGTTAATTTGACACAGCTACGTCGCTCAGGGGTGTGAAAAATCCACCTGTTCAGAGGGAAAAGAAGAAGAGTGCCTTTTGAATTGAGAGAAAGGGGATAGCTCCTTTTGGAGCATATATGGGCTGGCTCAAACTGGAATGCTCCTCTGTAGCCCAGAAGAAACCTTAGATGAACTATCTGATTCTCCAGTGACTGTGACATCAACCTCGCAATGCTGGTGGAATGGGAGTTGATATGATGTTTATTCAGTCTAGATTTTGCAATTGGAAAAATGAACTCTCAAGGCAAACTTTTAATCAAACATGAAAACTGCTTAGTTCACTTTTATACAGTGGCTGATTGGACTGCAACAAGGAAAAGAGAAGCTACGGGTAATGTTTTTTTATTTCTACATTTTTGTGACAATCGTGGTCCAGACACCCCAAGAGGGCAACAGGGTCTGAACACCACAGAATATGCAATTGAATCAACTGGCTGTGTACAATATTATTGTGTATAAATATATGTCAAATAAAGTCTCTTATGAAAACTTGGCATGTTCTGAACCTAGTAGTCATTATGAGATAGTGGTGGGAGTTGTCAGCACCTGTCCTCTCCTTGCATAATTTGTTTCACTATCAGATTTCCCCCAAGCGAGGCTACACTGAGTTGTAATGCCATAACCAGATTTTATTATTAAACCAAGCACTCTCTTTTCCCTATTTACTGAATGTTAGGTTTAGTACCTTTACTACACCACCTTTGTAAAGCTTTTAACACTTGCATAAAAAAATTTTAACTTCTTACTTTTTTTAAAAATTACTTATTTTTCAAAGTGACACAATTTTATCAGATTTCTTTTAAGTGTCTTTACACCTTTTCTTTTTCTTTTTAGGCTTTTTGTTTTCTTAGCTACAATTAGTTTTTCTTTTCTTTTCTTTTTTTTTTGGTTGCCCATGGGTTTTATTTTAAAATTGTAATGACATTTAACACACATTTGCTATGCTCTACCAAGTATTCTTTTACACAGGTATTTAGAATACCTTTTAATTTTTCTTTTAAAATACCTTGTTAGACTGCATGGCAAATACCTTATATATCTCTCTATGCTTTTTTAGGCCCCCAATTTTTAAAAAAAATTGGGGGGGGGTAGATTTTTTATTTTTTTTTTTTACATAACGGTTAACTTTTTTACTTTTGTTAAACAGGGCTCCTATTGTTCAGGATTAGTTTTTGCAACAAGTTTTTGACTTCTTTGTTTTGCATTTTTTATTTCGCACTCTGTGTTGGAGTTCCTTTTGCACCCAGCCCCAGTCTTCTCCTAATACTTCCCTGGGGAGTCCATAGCGACCTCCTTTAGATCTATTCCACTCCTCCAGTGCTCTGGAAACCTTCTCAAGTTTACATTTTTAGCCATTGCTAAACTGCTGGGTTGTGATCCTTGACAGTAAAGCTACACATATAAGAAACTATACATTACCTGCTCCAGATGAATGGACTCTGAGTCACTATGTTGGGGTTCTCCCAACACCTCTTCCACTTGGTTCCCTAAGAACTCAGTTCAACTTCAGTCTTGTTACTCAGACTCCTTTATTTGGCATACAGTAAAGCTACACAGAGTTGATTAGACTCAAATGTACCAGGTTGGTAAAGAGTATGCCACACATCCAAAGTTACACTGAAGCTCCCTTCCTTTATATACCTTTACACATCACATTACTTTACTTTCACTATATATTGCATTACAGGTTTGAGACGGGCTTGGTTACTTTGTAGGAACCAACCCCTGTACAGCATGCTCTGTCCATGCAAGGTCTGTTCATGACTTTCTCTTTACCTCATCTTACGTTCCAGGCTTTATTATCCATTGTTATTTCATCCATTGTAAATGGTTTCCTGGTTCTTAACTTAGTACAGACATTCTGTTTCCATCTTGCTGATTCTTTTATCTCCCTAATCCTCCTGTCTCCCCATTCTGTTCCTGAGGGGCTGCATCCCGCACCAGACAACGAGGCTAGCTCCAAGTACTTAGCGTTGGACAACCCAAGAAAAGACAATTATAGACCATTACAGTTAAAGGGAAAACACTGAAACAACTTGAAACTGAAAAGATGACCCTTGTCACGGAAAACTAAGAAAGGAGGAAATTTTCCCAACCTGAATAACCAGAAGTCACCATGCCAAGAGGGAAGAAAACAGGCTTGTCAGCAGTTATGAATATTAAATCCTTTATCTTAAGGAAAACTCCAAAACTTGATGTGGTAGATCCAGCATACCAAAAACTTACTAATTTTATTATTTCTGTTTGTTCATTTGTTCAATAACATTAATGGATTATTAATTTGATTATGACATTTTCTTTATCATAACTTCCCTTTTCAGGTGCCACAGTTGCTGTTTTGGTGTCATTCTTTCAAACTGAAAGAAACAGATACTATTTAAAAACTGTGGCAAAAATTATCCAGTTTGCTAAGATCAAGATATCATAAATTTCAAGGACTTAGACCTTATTCTGAACAATTCATCAGGAAGTTTCATCAACCTAATTAAGTTTACTGCAGAACAAGATCCAAAATTCAAGGATGCACCGAAAACTATTCCAAAAAATGCAAAGTACATTTCTGCTGAAATTCAGAATGAAATAATTGATATTAAGATGGTTATAGAAGATATCGTTGAAGATATTCAGAAAAATTGTGATGTCAAGTGATTCTGCCTGAAATGTGACACAAGGGATGCTGTCAATGTAGGAAATTTGCCCACTGTTTTATGCTACTCTAATAGCAAAAGCCAAGGATAGACTTATTGGAGTAGCCCAATTTCATGGCCTCACAACAAATTTTGAAAGACCTCCATGAACTGGGTCTCCATGAACTCGACTTTACTTTATGTTCTTACCTTGAGGGAACCAATGTTATGTCAGGGTGTAAAAGAGGTGTACAAATGCATTTACACCAGAATTTAAACAAGCAAATACCTTACAAGCACTGATTGAATCACCAGTTCCATCTGGTGGTTATTCATGTGTGAGGTGAACTCAGCAGTGGCAGATGTTCTCAGTTATAAGTCTCTATACACATTTTTTTGCAGGCATGAAGTGAGTGTGCTGTACAAAGGCCTGCACCTGCAAACACTCAGAGAAACAAGATAGACTGGTCACCTGAAAACCTAGGAAATAATCCTCAATAATGTGGAACAGATTCAGAGTATTCTGCCAAACTTTGTGAATGGATATGGCAATCTGTTCAATGAATCAAAAGGGTTGTTGGAAGTTACAAAATCATCCGAATTCTTGTTCTTAGCTGAGGTTATGAGAATGATTTTGAAAGTTTTGCTCCTGTGAACAATTATCTTCAAAAGGAAATAATGCACCTTGCTAAAGGAGTTGAATTGATTGCTATGGCCTCTGAAGAACTTCAACAAAAGACAGACTTTGGAAGTTTTTTCTCAGAGATTTTGTCCAAGCACCCTGTTTTGAAAGAGGCATGTAAGGAAGCACCAACTTAAATTGTGCCACCAAAAGAGCCAAACTTTCAGGATTCTAGATTTCAACTTTCAAGAGTCACAGATCACTTAGCAGGATTCCAAAATGAAAATGAGCATAAGCAGTCCCAGATTTCTCATGAACAGATTGATGAAACCAGTGGTGGATTGCAAAGGAGATTTTCTGAGAATAGCTCTGTCATAAATATAAAGGGAAGGGTAAACCACTTTAAAATCCCTCCTGGCCAGAGGAAAAATCCTCTCACCTGTAAAGGGTTAAGAAGCTAAAGGTAACCTCGCTGGCACCTGACCAAAATGACCAATGAGGAGACAAGATACTTTAAAAAGCTGGGAGGAGGGAGAAAAACAAAGGGTCTGTGTCTGTCTGTGTGATGCTTTTGCCGGGGACAGAACAGGAATGGAGTCTCAGCCCTGGTCTACACTAGGACTTTAGGTCGAATTTAGCAGCGTTAAATCGATGTAAACCTGCACCCGTCCACACAATGAAGCCCTTTATTTCGACTTAAAGGGCTCTTAAAATCGATTTCCTTACTCCACCCCTGACAAGTGGATTAGCGCTTAAATCGACATTGCCGGCTCGAATTTGGGGTACTGTGGACACAATTCGATGGTATTGGCCTCTGGGAGCTATCCCAGAGTGCTCCATTATGACCGCTCTGGACAGCACTCTCAACTCAGATGCACTGGCCAGGTAGACAGGAAAAGAACCGCAAACTTTTGAATCTCATTTCCTGTTTGGCCAGCGTGGCAAGCTGCAGGTGACCATGCAGAGCTCATCAGCACAGGTGACCATGATGGAGTCCCAGAATCGCAAAAGAGCTCCAGCATGGACCGAACGGGAGGTACGGGATCTGATCGCTGTTTGGGGAGAGGAATCCGTGCTATCAGAACTCCGTTCCAGTTTTCGAAATGCCAAAACCTTTGTGAAAATCTCCCAGGGCATGAAGGACAGAGGCCATAACAGGGACCCGAAGCAGTGCCGCGTGAAACTGAAGGAGCTGAGGCAAGCCTACCAGAAAACCAGAGAGGCGAACAGCCGCTCTGGGTCAGAGCCCCAAACATGCCGCTTCTATGATGAGCTGCATGCCATTTTAGGGGGTTCAGCCACCACTACCCCAGCCGTGTTGTTTGACTCCTTCAATGGAGATGGAGGCAATATGGAAGCAGGTTTTGGGGACGAACAAGATGATGATGAGGAGGAGGTTGTAGATAGCTCACAGCAAGCAAGCGGAGAAACCGGTTTTCCCGACAGCCAGGAACTGTTTCTCACCCTAGACCTGGAGCCAGTACCCCCCGAACCCACCCAAGGCTGCCTCCTGGACCCAGCAGGCGGAGAAGGGACCTCTGGTGAGTGTACCTTTTAAAATACTATGCATGGTTTAAAAGCAAGCATGTGAAAGGATTACTTTGCCCTGGCATTTGCGGTTCTCCTAGATGTAGTCCTAAAGCCTTTGCAAAAGGTTTCTGGGGAGGGCAGCCTTATTGCGTCCTTCATGGTAGGACACTTTACCACTCGAGGCCAGTAACACGTACTCGGGAATCATTGTAGAACAAAGCATTGCAGTGTATATTTGCTGGCATTCAAACAACATCCGTTCTTTATCTCTCTGTGTTATCCTCAGGAGAGTGAGTTCTAATTCATGGTCACCTGGTTGAAATAGAGTGCTTTTCTTCAGGGGACACTCAGAGGAGCCCATTCCTGCTGGGCTGTTTGCCTGTGGCTAAACAGAAATGTTCCCCGCTGTTAGCCACAGGGAGGGGGGAAGGTTGAGGGGGTAGTCACGCGGTGGGAGGAGGCAAAATGCGACCTTGTAACGAAAGCACATGTGCTATGTATGTAATGTTAACAGCAAGGTTTACCCTGAAAGAGTGTAGCCACTGTTTTATAAAATGTGTCTTTTTAAATACCGCTGTCCCTTTTTTTTTCTCCACCAGCTGCATGTGTTTCAATGATCATAGGATCTTCTCCTTCCCAGAGGCTAGTGAAGCTTAGAAAGAAAAAAAAACGCACTCGCGATGAAATGTTCTCCGAGCTCATGCTGTCCTCCCACACTGACAGAGCACAGACGAATGCGTGGAGGCAAATAATGTCAGAGTGCAGGAAAGCACAAAATGACCGGGAGGAGAGGTGGCGGGCTGAAGACAGGGCTGAAGCTCAAATGTGGCGGCAGTGTGATGAGAGGAGGCAGGATTCAATGCTGAGGCTGCTGCAGGACCAAACCAGTATGCTCCAGTGTATGGTTGAGCTGCAGCAAAGGCAGCTGGAGCACAGACTGCCACTGCAGCCCCTCTGTAACCAACCGCCCTCCTCCCCAAGTTCCATAGCCTCCACACCCAGATGCCCAAGAACGCGGTGGGGGGGCCTCCGGCCAACCAGCCACTCCACCACAGAGGATTGCCCAAAAAAAAGAAGGCTGTCATTCAATAAATTTTAAAGTTGTAAACTTTTAAAGTGCTGTGCTTAAAGTGCTGTGTGGCATTTTCCTTCCCTCCTCCACCACCCCTCCTGGGCTACCTTGGTAGTCCTCCCCCTATTTGTGTGATGAATGAATAAAGAATGCATGAATGTGAAGCAACAATGACTTTATTGCCTCTGCAAGCGGTGATTGAAGGGAGGAGGGGCGGGTGGTTAGCTTACAGGGAAGTAGAGTGAACCAAGGGGCGGGGGGTTTCATCAAGGAGAAACAAAGAGAACTTTCACACCGTAGCCTGGCCAGTCATAAAACTGGTTTTCAAAGCTTCTCTGATGCGTACCGCGCCCTCCTGTGCTCTTCTAACCACCCTGGTGTCTGGCTGCGCGTAACCAGCAGCCAGGAGATTTGCCTCAACCTCCCACCCCGCCATAAACGTCTCCCCCTTACTCTCACAGATATTGTGGAGCACACAGCAAGCAGTAATAACAGTGGGAATATTGGTTTCGCTGAGGTCTAAGCGAGTCAGTAAACTGCGCCAGCGCGCCTTTAAACGTCCAAATGCACATTCTACCACCATTCTGCACTTGCTCAGCCTGTAGTTGAACAGCTCCTGACTACTGACAGGCTGCCTGTGTACGGCTTCATGAGCCATGGCATTAAGGGGTAGGCTGGGTCCCCAAGGATACATATAGGCATTTCAACATCCCCAACAGTTATTTTCTGGTCTGGGAATAAAGTCCCTTCCTGCAGCTTTTGAAACAGACCAGAGTTCCTGAAGATGCGAGCATCATGCACCTTTCCCGGCCATCCCACGTTGATGTTGGTGAAACGTCCCTTGTGATCCACCAGAGCTTGCAGCACTATCGAAAAGTACCCCTTGCGGTTTATGTACTCGGCGGCTTGGTGCTCCGGTGCCAAGATAGGGATATGGGTTCCGTCTATAGCCCCACCACAGTTAGGGAATCCCATTGCAGCAAAGCCATCCACTATGAACTGCACATTTCCCAGGGTCACTACCCTTGATATCAGCAGATCTTTGATTGCGTGGGCTACTTGCATCACAGCAGCCCCCACAGTAGATTTGCCCACTCCAAATTGATTCCCAACTGACCGGTAGCTGTCTGGCGTTGCAAGCTTCCACAGGGCTATCGCCACTCGCTTCTCAACTGTGAGGGCTGCTCTCATCTTGGTATTCATGCGCCTCAGGGCAGGGGAAAGCAAGTCACAAAGTTCCATGAAAGTGCCCTTACGCATGCGAAAGTTTCGCAGCCACTGGGAATCGTCCCAGACCTGCAACACTATGCGGTCCCACCAGTCTGTGCTTGTTTCCCGAGCCCAGAATCGGCGTTCCACAGCATGAACCTGCCCCATTAGCACCATGATGCATGCATTGGCAGGGCCCATGCTTTCAGAGAAATCTGTGTCTATGTCCTGATCACTCACGTGACCGCGCTGACGTCGCCTCCTCGCCCGGTATCGCTTTGCCAGGTTCTGGTGCTGCATATACTGCTGGATAATGCGTGTGGTGTTTAATGTGCTCCTAATTGCCAAAGTGAGCTGAGCGGCCTCCATGCTTGCCTTGGTATGGCGTCCGCACAGAAAAAAGGCGCGGAACGATCGTCTGCCGTTGCTCTGACGGAGGGAGGGGCGACTGACGACACGGCTTACAGGGTTGGCTTCAGGGAGCTAAAATCAACAAAGGGGGTGCCTGTACATCAAGGATTATTTCAGGCAGGACTTCACGGAGGGTTCCAATAAGAAATGATGCACCTAAGTTATCGTTCTTATTGGAACAAGGAGGTTAGCCTGGCCTCTGATTGATACATGGCTAGATTTACCTCGCTGCACCTTCTCTGTGAGTGACTGCAGTGTGACCTAGAGGAATGAGTCCCCTAGACAGGGGAGGAGGCAAATGAGTACAAAACAAATCTGGTCTATTTCTTGTTTTGACCCACTCCATCTATCTTGTACATCTTTGGCTGGCAGCAGACAGTGCAGAAGGACTGCATGCCATCCACATCTCATGGCTGCTCGGCAGAAGATGGTACAGTACGACTGCTAGCCATCCTCATCTCTTGCCTGCCTGGCAGAAGATGGTACAATACGACTGCTAGCAATCCTCATCTCTTGCCTGCCTGGCAGAAGATGGTACAGTACAACTGCTAGCAATCCTCATCTCTTGCCTGCCTGGCAGAAGATGGTACAGTACGACTGCTAGCAGTCCGTATCGCCTGCCCGCTCACCATAAGATGGTTCAATAGGACTGACTGCAGGACTAAAGAGAATGACCTGGTCAAGTCACTCCAAATTTAGTCCCTGCGCCCATGTCTGCCCAGGCGCTCCCAGCCGACGTGGCCAGGAGCACCTCGGACACGACGAGGACGACTACCAGTCGTATTGCACCGTCTGCTGCCAGAAGGCAATGGGTTGCTGCTACTGTGCAGCAAAGCCGTACCGCGTCTGCCAGCACCCAGGAGACATAGGGTGATGGTTACCTGAGCGGGCTCCATGCTTGCCGTGGTATGGCGTCTGCACAGGTAACTCAGGAAAAAAGGCGCGAAATGATTGTCTGCCCTTGCTTTCACGGAGGGAGGGAGGGAACGGGGGCCTGACGATACGTACCCAGAACCACCCGCGACAATGTTTTAGCCCCATCAGAGTGCTCCATTGTGACTGCTCTGGACAGCACTCTCAGATGCCCGATTGTTTGCCGTTGCTCTGACGCCGGGAGGGGTGACTGAGGACACGGCTTACAGGGTTGGCTTCAGGGAGCTAAAATCAACAAAGGGGGTGGCTTTACATCAAGGAGTATTTCAGGCAGGACTTCACGGAGGGTTCCAATAAGAAATGATGCACCTAAGTTATCGTTCTTATTGGAACAAGAAGGTTAGCCTGGCCTCTGATTGATACATGGCTAGATTTACCTCGCTGCACCTTCTCTGTGAGTGACTGCAGTGTGATCTAGAAGAATGAGTCCCCTAGACGGGGGGGGGGGGGAAGCAAATGAGTACAAAACAAATCTGGTCTATTTCTTGTTTTGATCCACTCCATCTATCTTTTACATCTTTGGCTGGCAGCAGACGGTGCAGAAGGACTGCATGCCATCCACATCTCATGGCTGCTCGGCAGAAGATGGTACAGTACGACTGCTAGCAGTCCGTATCGCCTGCCCGCTCACCATAAGACGGTTCAATAGGACTGACTGAAGGACTAAAGAGAATGACCTGGTCAAGTCACTCCAAATTTAGTCCCTGCGCCCATGTCTGCCCAGGCGCTCCCAGCCGACGTGGCCAGGAGCACCTCGGACACGACGATGACGGCTACCAGTCGTACTGTACCGTCTGCTGCCACAAGGCAAGGGGTTGCTGCTACTGTGTAGCAATGCCGTACCGCGTCTGCCAGCACCCAGGAGACATAGGGTGACAGTTACCTGAGCGGGCTCCATGCTTGCCGTGGTATGGCGTCTGCACAGGTAACTCAGGAAAAAAGGCGCGAAATGATTGTCTGCCCTTGCTTTCACGGAGGGAGGGAGGGAATGGGGGCCTGACGATATGTACCCAGAACCACCCGCGACAATGTTTTAGCCCCATCAGGCATTGGGATCTCAACCCAGAATTCCAATGGGCAGCGGAGACTGCGGGAACTGTGGGATAGCTACCCACAGTGCAACGCTCCGGAAGTCGACTCTAGCCTCGGTACTGTGGAAGCGCTCCGCCGAGTTAATGCACTTAATGCACTTAGAGCATTTTCTGTGGGGACACACACACTCGAATATATAAAACTGATTTCTAAAAAACCGACTTCTATAAATTCGACCTTATTCCGTAGTGTAGACATACCCTTAGAACTTAGTAAGTAATCTAGCTAGGTATGTGTTAGATTATGATTTCTTTAAATGGCTGAGAAAATAGCTGTGCTGAATAGAATGAATATTCCTGTCTGTGTGTCTTTTTTGTAACTTAAGGTTTTGCCTAGAGGGATTCTCTATGTTTTGAATCTAATTACCCTGTAAGGTATTCACCATCCTGATTTTACAGAGGTGATTTTTTTTTTTTTTTACTTCTATTAAAACTCTTCTTGTAAGGAAACTGAATGCTTTTTCATTGTTCTAAGATTCAAGGGTTTGGGTCTGTGGTCACCTATGCAAATTGGTGAGGATTTTTACCAAACCTTCCTGAGGAAGTGGGGTGCAAGGGTTGGGAGGATTTTGGGGGGAAAGATGTGTCCAAACTCCATTTTTTCAGGAACCCAGATAAAGTTTGGTGGTGACAGTGGAAATCCAAGGGCAAAGGGTAAAATTAATTTGTACCTTGGGGAAGTTTTAACCTAAGCTAGTAAAACTAAGCTCAGGAGGTTTTCATGCAGGTCCCCACATCTGTACCCTAGAGTTCAGAGTGGGGAAGGAACCTTGACAAGCTCCAAGTTATATAAAAGCTTGTCAGCAATCTGTCCTACCAGCTCTCCTCTCTCTCTTCTTCTTCTTCTTGAAATTGGAATTATTGTATGCTTTGATTGACTTGTTTGGATTAGATATTGAGAAGATGAAAGTTGAAATGGCTGAATTTAAGTCACTGATAGATAAGAGACATGGCAAAGAATTTGAAGATGTTCTAAATGCTGCCGAAGAATTAAAGGAGGCTTTCCGATGTACTTTTGAAATGTTTATAGTGGTCTTGTTATTCAGAGCATCAACTGCAGGTGGTAAGAATTCCTTTTCTTGTTTGAAAAGAATGTTATCACACTTAAGAATGAGCATGATCCATTAAAAAAGAGAGAGAGAGGAGACCTGTATCTCCTGTCATATGAAAGTGATTTGACCTCAAAACAGAAACTGGATGTCTCTGAGAAAGAATTCAGACACTATTATCAGACTTCAGCTTTAGTTGCATAAATAGTCTGTACTTTACACAGCACTTTCATGTTAAGAGCTATACTTTTATATTTCTGAATCTTTTAATGTTTTGAATGCTTGAATATTTATTATACTGAACAATCATATAAATAGGAATCTTATTTTTTCTTATTTCACAAGAACAAAGTTTTTAAAAAGGCTTCTGACTGAGACTGCATGTTTCAGTTCATGAACTTCTGAAGGCCACGCACAACTGCCTCTCATCATGCAGGTGCCCCCACCGTGTTGATGTCCTGGCTATGGAACTGGAGTTAGCTTTATGCATACAGGCAGGCCACAATACCATATTGAACAGGGAAACTGACTCACACATAATAGTCTTAAAAATAATACATTTTCCCAGTTTGTCACAGCATGTACATAATGCTAGCTCAAGCTTTACTGGGGGCTGTCTCGTCATGAAAAGTATGACCTCTTAATTTACAGTATCCTAAATATAAACAGAACTGTATAAAGGGGGTTCAAAACAGTTCCAGTGGAAACAGGCCTTGGCCTGTCAGGGGCCCTTAAAGGGCTATGGGTTTTGGGTGGGGGAGGCAGTGATTGAT